GTTTATGCAGCCCGTCCTCCAAACAAAGATCTAAAAGTGATTCCATGCACCCACCAAACCCCCTGTTTATGAATGAAAAGCGGTTTACACACGACTCACAACTACTGACGTTCGAACATATCCGGAACAAGTGTTTCACTGACGAATTTTGTTCGAATCACAACGCTATAAATGCTTCACCCACGTACTACAAATACAAATAATCGCCAACAGAACCTAAACACCTAACCTAACCTAACCTATGCCTATATATGCACAATATGCTAATATATTATAATATTAATTTATACTTGAGAAAATTCCCGTTTTGAATGAACAGCATATTAAAATTTATGTATGCGTCTGTGGGGTCGACCGCTGGATGTAATGGACTTGAGTCGAGGACGGGTTGGTTTATGAGTGAAAAACGGTTTACACACGACTCACAACTGATGACCTCCGAACACTTACGGAACAAGTGCTTTGCTCACGTCCTCTGTTCGAACCACAAATCTATAAATGCTTCCCCCACGTACTTCAAATACAAATAATCGTCAACAGAACCTAAACACCTAACCAAACCTACCCCTAACTATACATAGAGTTTGTATGTATAATAATATTAATTTACATATAAGAACAAACAAATTTATAATACACAGTATGATAAAATTTATGTGTCTGGGGAGGACGGCCGCTACTCTAACTAGCCTAGTGTGAGTTCGGGTTGACTGATGACGTTCGACTAAGGAGGTGACTTTTTTTCTTTATTACAAAACAATAATAAATACAATTAAAGGCAAGGTACCGAAGCACCAGGACAGTGTCATAACACCACAGGAATGATCAACAAACACCAAGCTGTATATACAAAATAAACAAGACAACAAATCAATACAGAAAGTTACAAACATCAAAACAGAAAGTTACAAACATCAAAACAGAAAGTTACAAACATCAAAACAGAAAGTCAAACACCATTGAAATACAAGTATAACTCCATGCATGCATAAGGGGAACAATACAACAACAAAAATGAAAAAAATAAATAAATACATAAAGCTAGGAACATACAGAATGGACCCAAACACTCCAAGGTCGTTACCACCCACCAAAAATTACATGAAGGCAATTAAGGGAAAGCCTTCAACCCCAAACATGCATACAACCACAACCAAACAGAACAAATATAGAGGAACGCAATGCAAAGGACAAGCCAGCCACGAGACCTAATTTAACAACATACAATAGGAACAGACGGAGCCCAGCACACAACACAGAACAATCATCAGAAGCAAGGAGCGGTGACACGACACTGAACCTTGCTACAAAACACCCACGCACATCATGCCCACATAAACAGTAAGGGACGACAAGCATCAGGAGCTGAACTGGAAAATATTTGAAAGAGATCGGTTTTATGGCGGGATTTAATTCAAATTTATTTGTGCAGAAAACGAGGTTCTGAAAAAATGAAATTCCGTTCCTGAAATTTTTTTTTTGACTGACAAATCTTGTAATGGCACCATTATCCAGGAAGCCATTGTTTGTTAATGGTGAACTTTGTTAAGTGTAATTATAGGAGGATGGTTGTTGATGAGAGTAAAGCTGCAGCATAGTTCACACAACAACCAAACACAACCCTCATGTAACATACTTGTCTTCGCTGGTGCAGCAATAAAAGTCTCACAGTAAAATAGGCTTATTATTCTTAACACATTCAAACATTGTATTCTCCAATACAGGAGAATTTTGAGAATTCTCACAGGAGAATTTTGCTCATTATTAATCGCCAATTTGTGCACATTTCTAATAGGCTTCCAGTCCCGGGCAATGGGTCACATTATTAAAGCTTCTCTCTCAATGTTACATTATGGTGTCACTAATCAAAATGGTGAACCAAGCTGTCTTTATATACAAGCGTTAAATGTGTCTGTCCGAGGTTATAAGCCAGATGCTTATGGGCAGCCTCAAACAAGTTTGCAGGGATCTGGGAGCCGCGGTTAGTGCTTCAGTTACATTACTCAAGTATTGATCTCACATGTGTAGTGTATGCATGCAAAAGCCTCTTTTTATAGATCCTTAAATGATCTTCTTATGTTTGCTAACTTCACATATGCTGCTGATGTTATCCTGTTCACATGAGCTTCTGGTGTTGGGATTATGCCTACTTCCAGATATTTTTATCTTACTGTTTCTTAAAAATTATTTCGACCTTATAGTATACTTAAATACAGGTCTCCTGTACCCATTTTCATTATTTTACACTTATTTGGATTGAATTCCAGCAGCCATTTATCTGCTCACTCCTAACGTTTGTCAAAGTCTTCTTGCAGCACCCTACAGTTCTCTTCGGTTCCTACTCTCCTCATTAACTCTACATCGTCTGCAAACATCAACACGTATCAGTTCTCTCCCTCTACAAGCTCATTTACATTATTTAGATTGATTGATTGATTGTTGCCGCCGAAGGCGGCTAGTTTATTGTGCATCCCATACACATCCTGTGAGCCGTAGCGCAAAAGCATTACAGAGGGCACAAAAGATCAATGTTCCTGGGATTGTTCCCCGTGGAATATCACTTTCCACTCCTCTCCAGCCTGACGCCTCACTATGACCCTTTGTTTCCTCTCCATCATCACCTCCAGCACCCAGTCCAGTGACTCCTGTTTTCCCCGGGTTTGTATCCATCTTATGTATTAGTCTTTTGAGAGGAACTGTATCAACCATTTTTGGCAGTGTAGAAAGATGCAGTCACCCCATCCTTTCTTCTTTTGTGTTATTTTGGTAAACATGTCATACGATTTAATCATGTCTGTCAAGTATGATTTCTCGTCTGAAGCTGTGTTGTGCCTCTTATAACAGTTACTCCCCACATGTTCTACAGTCCTTTTTCTGACAACATTCTACAATCTTGCATGTTAATGACACTGGTCTATAGTTTAGTACTTCATATCTGCCCCACTTTTTTTTAATATTACAACCACATTTGCCTTTTTCCAGATTTCCGGCAGCTCTCTATCTTTAGTGTAATGTTGAACATTATATTTATTTATTTTTATTTATTTTTATTTATATATATACATGAAAGGTACACTGGGATTGTGAGGATACATAGAATAGTAATTACAATCTTGTAAAGCCACTACTACGCGCAGCATTTCGGGCAGAATGAGTTTAATGGGTCACACAAGATTCCCGCAGCTTCCTTCAGCACCCATGGTGATATCTGGTCTGGTGTTACTGCTTTCGATACATCCAGTTCCTCCAGGTATCTTTTGACCTTCTCTACATTAACTTCAATTGTGTCTAGTGTTGCAGACGATGAGCCACAATAACGGGTCTGAAGATGTGATGACCAAACCTCACATTATATAATGGAGAAACGACGACGTTTCGGTTCGTCGTGGACCATTACTAAGTCGTGATTTTGTCTAGTGTTGTTTCTGGTCGTCTCTTGTCACTACAAGGGAGCCGGTCGGCCGAGCGGACAGCTCGCTGGATTTGTGATCCTGTGGTCCTGGGTTCGATCCCAGGCGCCGGCGAGAAACAATGGGCAGAGTTTCTTTCACCCTATGCCCCTGTTACCTAGCAGTAAAATAGGTTCCTGGGTGTTAGTCAGCTGTCACGGGCTGCTTCCTGGGGGTGGAGGCCTGGTCGAGGACCGGGCCGCGGGGACACTAAAAAAAAAAACGAAATCATCTCAAGATAACCTTAAGATAACCCTCCTGTAGTCCCCACTTCTGTTTTCTTTCTTGCTCCTTCTCCTGTTTCCAACTCTCTCAGTTCTACAGCGTCATCAAACACTTAACACATTGGCCTCTGGCTCCTAGTGGGACCTCATATTTCAAGTTCTCTACATCTTCTTCATTTTAGATAAACACCAGGTCTAGGGAGGCTGGTAGATCTGCTTCATTTTCTCTTGTTGGCTCCTTGATATGCTGCCACAGGGAGTGTTTGCCTGTATAGTGTCCACAAGTCTTGCTCTCCGTGTCTCATCTTCCCAGTCAGGATCCTTTGTTGACAATTTATTTCCCTGCGATTAAAATCTCCAAGTATTAGGATCTCTGGCTCTCCTTGCCACTGTGACCCCCCCCCTCCCTACTCTATTATCTTCAGACATGCTTTATTACAGTGATCATATTACAAAACAATTACTGGCAACTCCATTGTTCTCACTGTTATCATGTCAAGTATGACATCCTACTGCTGGATTATCTCTGGAATCTCTTATCTCCTCAAAACTCCAGTTTTGTTGTATCAGTAACAACTCCTCCACCTTTATGTTTATCATCTCTTTTTCCTACTACCTGACACCATCGTGGGAATATTTCATCTTCTATTACGTGGCCTGACAGCTGAATGGACATCGCTCGGGATTCGTAGTCTTGAGGTTCCGTGTTCTATTCCTGGTGGAGGCGGAAAAAAATGGGCAGAGTTTCTTTTACCATGATGCATCTGTTCACTTAGCAGTAAATATGTACCTGGGAGTTTGACAGCTGCTACAGGTGGGTAGGGGGGGGGTATAACAAAACGGTGGCCTGTTCGAGGACTGGGCCGCCGGGACGCTAAGCCTCGAAATCATCTCAAGATAACCTCAAGATGCTCTTTAGTTTTGTCTCTGTAACTGCAATGATTTGAGGATGCAGTCCCGCAGTTTTGCAGCTTGCCTCTTGTAATGTCTGCATTCCTGTATCAAATTGTAAGATTACTCATTTCTACTGGCTGTTTAGTTTCCTTCCGGGATGAGGGAGAGGGGCTAGATTCTCCCTTTGGGCTAGCCCCCATTCTGGGGCTTGGAATTTGTAAGTGTTGGCATAGCCAACTGTCCTGCATTTGCCTGTCCTGCTCTTGCGCTGGTCTAACCTCCTGCTCCATCCTAACTCCACTTATTCTTTCCATTTCCCTCTGCTCTTCTTCTCTATCATTCTTAGCTTGGTGACAATTATACTGTGTGGCAGGTGTGGTAGTGACAATTATACTGTGTGGCAGGTGTGGTAGTGACAATTCCACTGTTGCAGGTGTCGCTGGACTCGAGAGTGCGGGAGATCATCAACAGGAACATGGTGGACCCGACGCCCCACACCTTCGACGAGGCGCAGACGCAGATATACACTCTCATGCACCGCGACTCCTACCCGCGCTTCATCAACTCCGCCATCTACAAGCGCCTCGCACAACTCAATAATAACGGGAGCAGCAGCAGTAGCAGAAAAGAAAGTTCAACATAGGCGTCCGTGTGTGTGTGTGTGTGTGTGTGTGTGTGTGTGTGTATGTGTGTGTTTCAACACCCCCCCCCCCCCCGTTCCCCTTTCTATTCCTTATTCCCTCCATCCTTTCCACCCCCCTTCCTTTTTTCCCCTTATTTACCTTCCCATTTCCTCACTCTTGCCTAAGTGTATTACCTCCCTCGTCGACCTCACAATGCACCCTTTTCCTTATTTCTGAGTTGGGGACCAGAAATTACATGACAAAAAATACGTTCATTGAAAACGGGATTAGGGCAATGCGTTGGTCACAACTGAAGAACGGATTGTGAGTATATAAGTTTGTAAATTAAGTACATAAGTATGCTTGAGCGTTTATAAGTAGGTGAAGAGCTAAGCTCCAACGTTCATCACTCAACGCACAGATAATCCCCCTTCCCAAACGGGTGAGAACATTTAGGAGCTCAACTAATGTGAGTCAGACCAATGCTTGGTGGGTTAGGCGTTGTTCATTTCAATCTTTTTTCTACCTCCTAGTTTGTGCAACCACTTGTTGTCCAAGAGGCATGAATTAGGCACAGCTTAACGTGATATCTGAGGCAAAAGTAATGCAAAATACTAATTGGCACACTAAACAAATTAAAAACAAAACAAAAAATATTTGCAAATGTAAAGAAAACGGATGAGAGAGGAACAGATGTCAGTTTCTCTCACATTTTTTTTTCTTTCAGTAGAGATGGTAATTTATCTTGTCAGAAGAGACAGTACAAATAAGTTTAAGCTGAGAACGATCGTGTCCAAAAAATAAACTGCCACACCTCTCCTACAACCCCCATTATTTGCATACAAAAATTGAAGAGAGTGCCAGCCTTAGCTTGGTGGAAGAAAATGCTAGACCTTGCCAGTCGCTACACTTAAAGGGTAACTCAAATAAACCCTTACGACAGGTATAACTAAATTAATCTATACGGATGGATTTGACTATTTTCTTCTCGTTTAGATTTTGACTTGACGAAAACTTTATAAATAAAGGTATTACTACAAATAATATTGAATTAATAGATGTTTTTAGATATTATTAATAGTTTAAGAAAGGCGTGAAAAATGGTGCCCGATAGCACAAAGGTGTAACGCTTTTTACCTTAATAAGCTTTAAAGATGTGTAGGATACTCAAAATTTCACCCCCAAAGCTTAACGATGTGCTCAAAGCTTATTATGGTAGATATCGTCACATTCCAAGTATTATTTAATGCCAGAAAAAAGAAATGTATATTGTAGAATTTCAAGTTAAGAGAATTTTTGTATCTTGGATAATTGTGAGTTGAATGCATATCCCAATACAATTATACGCCCGTATATATGTCAAGGTATTACCGAAATATTATATATTGCCCTTCTTACCCTAAAAAAAAATATTCCAACTAATTTTCTGTTTTCAAAATCGTGGGGGTATGGAATTTTATATTTAACATATATGAAAAATAGAACACCTGTACTTAAAAAAAAAAAAATTCGATGCCTCTGGATGACTAAATAGATATATAATCCTCTTTTATGATAGTTTGTTAATGTAAATATTTCGCTCTGGGGACGTACTCGGGAATGGGGGGTGAGTGTCTCGTCTAGACATAGAACCACCTGGTTGCAAGGAACTGTCAATTACTTAATTAACTCTTGCCGTCTAAACTCCTGCACCAATTTCAGCTAACGCAAGATCAAATCAACTGTTACATAAGTGACTTCCTGTGGATATACATCCATACTAAATCGTATACAATTACCTCTCAATGACGAAGCCTATGCACTTGGGTTTCGTGAGGTGAAGTCATCATCAATAGTCACATTTTCCACTATATGACATTTGATATGAAGGATTTTCATTGTTGTAGTTGCATACTTTGTTTTGTCCCCCCCCCCAGCGACCGTGACGTGCAGGGGTAGCGCCATTGCAACACTATGGGTAACACAAGATCCCCGCAGCTTCCTTCAGCACCCATGGTGATATCTGGTCTGGTGTTACTACTTTCGATACATCCAGTTCCTCCAGGTATCTTTTGACCTTCTCTACATTAACTTCAATTGTGTCTAGTGTTGCAGACGATGAGCCACAATAACGGGTCTGAAGATGTGATGACACCCAGCAACACTAATCAACGTCATCAACGTTGATTCAGACTCAGCGACGTTGATTGAACGAGTAACCAACACCAGACTTGGGTATTGTACCCACTTGGTAACACTCTTGGTATGGCACACACGAAGGTCGAAGGGGAATAAGAGTTGTCAATATACTCCAGAATTTCAGAATGGTATCACCATCAACCCTTATTGTTGTCTCTGATGGGTTCCCAGCGACGAGGCCTCAAGTCTTCGTCTTAAGCATGAAGTCTTTATGTTTATGAAGCCTCTCAAGCCAATGGCCGATCTTCCCGAGGATGCAATACACAATAGTTGCCTAAATCCTAGATAACTATGCTAGGTGAACAGAGGCACCGAGAGTAGGGAAACGTGGCGTAACGTCTTGCTCTGCCTTGGAATCGAACCTGGAAACAACCGGTTGTGAGCAGTGCGTCAAAAACGACGGAATGGCGTCTTAAGGCGAGACGCAGACAGACGAAGGGACGATCTTGACATGAGAAAAGGAAGAGGGAGCGGGGGGGGGGAGGGTCATATGGTATTGGGAAGGGGGGAAGATTAATATATTCGAGGGTAAATCCCGAGTACGTCTCCAGGTAGCGGCCCAAAATCCCCAGTGCTGTTATGACTGTTTCTCGTCTAGGTATTTGTATGTAGACAATTGAACAGAACTGTATGAGCATGTCAAATTTTTAAGATGTCATTGAGGCATCACATTAACCATCAAAGCTCAATACTTTTTCCTTAAGGATGCTGGGTGGATTACAAACCAAATACTCTTTTTTAAGTCAACAGTTTCTGACATGTCAATTACCTCACTTTTTACACAAGAGTGCATTTGTCATATTTTTTTTTTTTGTCTTAGCCTCTATAGAAAATACACACGAATACCAATGGCATTTCCTGTGCAGCAATTCAGAGATTATTTTCAAATAGACGATAGATAATTATGAGGAGGAATTTTTAAACTGTTCATTGACAGAAAAATATGGTGAGGCTTTTCAGAGCATTAGTGCTGGAAATTACCAATGTCCCGTAAGTGTCCAGTGTAAGACCCGCGTTCGAGCCTGCTCATGCGGCCTATAGCGGGCACTGTCAACAGAAAAACAATGTGCAACAGAGCCAAACAATTGTGCAGATACAGGCCTGTTAGATTGGCGTGGCAGGACCCATAGAAAAGATGCGAGTTTATCGTGTGTTTTTAGCAGGCCTACCATGTGAAAATAATTACCAGAAGGGTCTGACAGTGTCCGTCGCCAGGGAATGAAGACATCTGACACCGGGGAGATGTGACACATGTGTCACACATGTGTCACACATATGCCAAAGACATACGTCTAGTCTGGAGTGCTCACTGTGTTCGGCTGTGGCCCAGCCTGGCTACAGCACGGCAACAGCCTGGCTACAGCACGGCTAAAGCCTGGCTACAGCACGGCTACAGCACGGCTAAAGCCTGGCTACAGCACGGCTACAGCCTGGCTACAGCACGGCTACAGCCTGGCAACAGCCTGGATACAGCCTGGCCACAGCACGGCTACAGCCTGGCTACAGAACGGCTATAGCCTGGCTACAGACTAGCTACAGCACGGCTACAGCCTGGCTACAGCCTGGCTACAGCATGGCTACAGCCTGGCTACAGCACGGCTACAGCCTGGCTACAGCACAGCTACAGCCTAACTACAGCACGGCTACAGCCTAGCTACAGCACGGCTACAGCCTGGCTACAGCATAGTTACAGCCTAGCTACAGCACGGCTACAGCCTGGCTACAGCACGGCTACAGCCTGGCAACAGCCTGGCAACAACCTGGTTACAGCACGGCTACAGCTTGGCTACAGCACGGCTACAGCACAGCTACAGCACGGCTACAGCCTTGCTACAGCACAGCTACAGCCTGGCTACAGCATGGCTGCAAAACAGCTACAGCCTGGCTACATCCTGGCTACAGAACGGCTACAGCACGGCTACATCCTGGCTACAGCACGGCTACAGCCTGGCTATAGCACAGCTACAGCACGGCTACAGCCTGGCTATAGCACAGCTACAGCCTGGCTACAGCACGGCTACAGCCTGGCAACAGCCTGGATACAGCACGGCTACAGCCTGGATACAGCACGGCTACAGCCTGGCTACAGCCTGGCTACAGCACAGCCACAGCACGGTTACAGCCTGGCTACAGCCTGGCTACAGCACGGCTACGGCCTGGCTACAGCACGGCTACAGCCTTGCTACAGAGCTACAGCACGGCTAGAGCACGGCTATAGCCTGGCTACAGCACGGCAACAGCCTGGCTATAGCACGGCTACAGCCTGGCTACAGCACGGCTACAGCATGGCTACAGCATGGCTACAGCACAGCTACAACACGGCTACAGCACTGCTACAGCCTGGCTACAGCACGGCTACAGCATGGCTACAGCCTGGCTACAGCACGGCTACAGCACGGCTACAGCCTGGCAACAGCCTAGCTACAGCATGGCTACAGCCTGGCTACAATATGGCTACAGCACATCTACAGCCTGGCTACAGCACGGCTACAGCCTGGCTACAGCACGGCTACAGCACATCTACAGCCTGCCTACAGCACGGCTATACCCTGGCTACAGCACGGCTACAGCATGGCTACAGCACATCTACAGCCTGGCTACAGCACGGCTATACCCTAGCTACAGCACGGCTACAGCCTGGCTACAGCACATCTACAGCACGGCTACAGCCTGGCTACAGCACGGCTACAGCCTGGCTACAGCACGGCTATACCCTAGCTACAGCACGGCTACAGCCTGGCTACAGCACATCTACAGCACGGCTACAGCCTGGCTACAGCACGGCTACAGCCTGGCTACAGCACGGCTACAGCCTGGCTACAGCACGGCTACAGCCTGGCTACAGCACGGCTACAGCCTGGCTACAGCACAGCAACAGCCTGGCTACAGCACAGCTACAGCCTGGCTACAGCACGGCTACAGCCCGGCTACAGCACAGCTACAGCACAGCTACAGCATGCCTACAGCCTGGCTACTGCACGGCTACAGCTTGGCTACAGCACGGCTACTGCCCGGCTACAGCTTTGCTACAGCAGAGCTACTGCATGCCTACAGCCTGGCTACAGCACGGCTACAGCCTGGCTACAGCATGGCTACAGCACAGCAACAGCCTGGCTACAGCACAGCTACAGCCTGGCTACAGCACGGCTACAGCCTGGCTACAGCACGGCTACAGCACGGCTACAGCCTGGCTACAGCACGGCTACAGCCTGGCTACAGCATGGCTACAGCACAGCAACAGCCTGGCTACAGCACAGCTACAGAAAGGCTACAGCACGGCTACAGCACGGCTACAGCACGGCTACAGCACGGCTACAGCCTGGCTACAGCACGGCTACAGCCTGGCTACAGCATGGCTACAGCACGGCTACAGCCTGGCTACAGCATGGCTATAGCATGGCTACAGCACGGCTACAGCACGGCTACAGCCTGGCTACAGCACGGCTGCAGCACGGCTACAGTCTGGCTACAGCCTGGTTACAGCACGGCTACAGCCTGGCTACAGAATGGCTATAGCATGGCTACAGCACGGCTACAGCCTGGTTACAGCACGGCTACAGCCTGGCTACAGAATGGCTATAGCATGGCTACAGCACGGCTACAGCACGGCTACAGCCTGGCTACAGCATGGCTACAGCATGGCTACAGCACGGCTACAGTACGGCTACAGCCTGGCTACAGCACGGCTACAGCATGGCTATAGCATGGCTACAGCACGGCTACAGCACGGCTACAGCCTGGCTACAGCATGGCTGCAGCACGGCTACATTCTGGCTACAGCCTGGCTACAGCACGGCTACAGCATGGCTATAGCATGGCTACAGCACAGCTACAGCCTGGCTACAGCATGGCTACAGCCTGGCTACAGCATGACTACAGCCTGGCTACAGCCTGGCAACAGCCTGGCTAAAGCATGGCTACAGCCTGGCTACAGCATGGCTACAGCCTGGCTACAGCATGGCTACAGCCTGGCTACAGCACGGCTACAGCCTGGCTACAGCATGGCTACAGCCTGGCTACAGCATTGCAATAGCATGGCTACAGCCTGGCTACAGCATTGCAATAGCATGGCTACAGCATGGCTCTAGCACGGCTATAGCACGGCTACAGCATAGCTACAGCACGGCTACAGCCTGGTTACAGCACGGCTACAGCACGGCTGCAGCCTGGCTACAGCACGGCAACAGCACAGCTACAGCCTGGCTACAGCACGGCAACAGCACGGCTACAGCACAGCTACAGCCTGGCTACAGCACGGCTACAGCCTTGTTACAGCCTGGCTACAGCACAGCTACAGCCTGGCTACAGCACAGCTACAGCACGGCTACAGCACGGCTACAGCCTGGCTACATCACAGCTACAGCACGGCTACAGCCTTGCTACAGCCTGGCTACAGCACGGCTACAGCACAGCTTCAGCCTGGCTACATCACAGCTACAGCACGGCTATAGCCAGGCTACAGCACGGCTATAGCCAGGCTACAGTACGGCTATAGCACGGCTACAGCCTTGCTACAGTACGGCTACAGTCGGTCTACAGCATGGATACAGGACGGCTAAAGCACGGCGACAACCTGGCTACAGCACGGCTACAGCCTGGCTACATCACGGCTACAGCCTGACTACAGCACGGTTACAGTCTGGCTAAAACACGGCTACAGCCTGGCTACAGCACGGCTACAGCCTGGCTACAGCCTGGCTACAGCATGGCTACGGCCTGGTTACAGCATGCCTACAGCCTGGCTACAGCATGCCTACAACCTGGCTACAGCATGCCTACAGCCTGCCTACAGCTTGCCTCCAGCCTGGCTACAGCATGCCTCCAGCCTGGCTACAGCATGCCTACAGCCTGGCTACAGCATGCCTACAGCCTGGCTACAGTCTGGCTACAGCATGCCTACAGCCTGGTTACAGCATGCCTACAGCCTGGTTACAGCATGCCTACAGCCTGGCTACAGCATGCCTACAGCATGGCTACAGCATGCCTACAGCCTGGCTACAGTATGGCTACAGCCTGGCTACAGCATGGCTACAGCACGGCTACGGCCTGGCTACAGCACGGCTACGGCCTGGCTACAGCACGGCTACGGCCTGGCTACAGCATGCCTACAGCCTGGCTACAGCATGCCTACAGCATGCCTACAGCCTGGCTACAGCATGCCTACAGCCTGGCTACAGCACGGCTACGGCCTGGCTACAGCACGGCTAGGCCTGGCTACAGCCTGTCCACAGCACGGCTACAGCCTGTCTACAGCACGGCTTCAGCCTGACTACAGCACGGCTACAGCCTGTCTACAGCACGGCTACAGCCTGGCTACAGCCTGTCTACAGCATGGCTACAGCCTGACTACAGCACGGCTACAGCCTGGCCACAGCACGGCTACAGCCTGGCTACACCACGGCTACAGCCTGGCTACAGCACGGCTACAGCCTGGCTACAGGACGTCTACAGCACGGCTACAGCACGGCTACAGCCTGGCTACAGCACGGCTACAGCCTGGTTACAGCACAGCTACAGCCTGGCTACACCACGGCTACAGCCTGGCTACAGCACGGCTACAGCCTGGCTACAGGACGTCTACAGCACGGCTACAGCCTGGCTACAGCACGGCTACAGCCTGGTTACAGCACAGCTACAGCCTGGCTACAGCACAGCTACAGCCTGGCTACAGCACGGATACAGCCTGGCTACAGCACGGCTACAGCCTGGCTACAGCACGGCTACAGCCTGGCTACAGGACGTCTACAGCACGGCTACAGCACGGCTAAAGCCTGGCTACAGCACGGCTAGAGCCTGGCTACAGCCTGGCTACAGCCTGGCTACAGCACGGCTAGAGCCTGGCTACAGCCTGGCTACAGCACGGCTACGGCCTGGCTACAGTACGGCATCGGCCTGGCTACAGCATGCCTACAGCCTGGATACAGCATGCCTACAGCCTGGCTACAGCACGGCTACAGCCTGGCTACAGCACGGCTACGGCCTGGCTACAGCACGGCTACGGCCTGACTACAGCATGCCTACAGCCTGGCTACAGCATGCCTACAGCATGCCTACAGCCTGGCTACAGCACGGCTACAGCCTGTCTACAGCACGGCTACAGCCTGACTACAGCACGGCTACAGCCTGACTACAGCCTGGCTACAGCACGGCTACAGCCTGGCTACAGCACGGCTACAGCCTGGCTACAGCACGGCTACAGCCTGGCTACAGCCTGGCTATAGCCTGGCTACAGCACGGCTACAGCCTGGCTACAGCACGGCTACAGCCTGACTACAGCCTGGCTACAGCCTGGCTACAGCCTGGCTACAGCCTGACTACAGCCTGTCTACAGCACGGCTACAGCCTGTCTACAGCACGGCTACAGCCTGGCTACAGCATGGCTACAGCCTGTCTACAGCACGGCTACAGCCTGACTACAGCCTGGCTACAGCACGGCTACAGCCTGGCTACAGCACGGCTACAGCCTGGCTACAGCACGGCTACAGCCTGGCTACAGCACGGCTACAGCCTGGCTACAGCACGGCTACAGCCTGACTACAGCCTGGCTACAACCTGGCTACAGCCTGGTTACAGCCTGGCTACACCACGGCTACAGCATGGCTACAGCCTGACTACAGCCTGGCTACAGTCTGGCTACAGCCTGGCTACACCGCGGCTACAGCCTGGGTACAGCACGGCTACAGCCTGGCTACACCACGGCTACAGCCTGGCTACAGCACGGCTACACAGATTATACTCTCACAAATTTTATGTATTGTAATCATTTCATGGATTACATTTGATTACATATACAGTGAATATGCTTACATTGTTAAATTAGAACCACCTCCCCCCCCCCTAGTCCTAATATAATTTGTAATGTAAGTCAAAATTGCTGTTCCTTGTTACAAAGCAATATTTGTTATTTCAATGTTAACAATTCGGTCCAGTCTTTCAATGGTGATTATTTTTATTTTTAAGAAATGTAACTGGATCTAATAAAGCCATATTGTCTTCAATATCATGTAAATCCCTCTGTATGAGCCCCTTTTCCTTCACCCTTCTTCACCTCTCCCACAAGACGCTGGTTACAGTCTGAAAAGGGAAGGAATTAGCAAGTTTAGAGGAACAGGGTAAAGGGGGCACTGAGTTCCAAAAAGCGTGCCTAACTACTTGCATCATCGGGGATTGAACACCGACCTTGCAGGATGTGAGGTTGACCAGACCAAGAGGGCTGACATGGGGGGGGGGGGGAGAATGGGGGTTTTTACTACTTGTGTCAAAACGTTTCTTGATAGGAACGGGATATTGATCCCCGGTTACCTTTTGGGATTATTCCGGGGCTTAGCGTCCCCGCGGCCCGGTCCTCGACCAGGTCTTAGTTGAGAGGTGAGCTGGGAACCACTGCCACACTGCGTGTGCTGGGACTAGCGCTGTGGGGGCTGTGACAAGGGGTGAGGGGCTGGGATCCCAGCTTCCATTAGCCTCCTGCAGGAGTCATCCTTCTGCAGGGGTCAATCATCCTTCAGGAGTCATCCTCCTGCAGAAGTCAATCATCCTACAGGAGTAGGCCTCCTGCAGAAGTCAATCATCCTTCAGGAGTAGGTCTCCTGCAGGAGTCAATCATCCTTCAGGAGTAGGTCTTCTGCAGGAGACAATCATCCTTCAGGAGTAGGTCTCCTGCAGGAGTCAATCATCCTTCAGGAGTAGGTCTTCTGCAGGAGACAATCATCCTTCAGGAGTAGGTCTCCTGCAGGAGTCAATCATCCTTCAGGAGTAGGTCTCCTGCAGGAGTCAATCATCCTTCAGGAGTAGGTCTTCTGCAGGAGACAATCATCCTTCAGGAGTAGGTCTCCTGCAGGAGTCAATCATCCTTCAGGAGTAGGTCTTCTGCAGGACACAATCATCCTTCAGGAGTAGGTCTTCTGCAGGAGTCAATCATCCTTCAGGAGTAGGTCTTCTGCAGAAGTCAATCATCCTTCAGGAGTAGGCCTCCTGCAGGAGTCAATCATCCTTCAGGAGTAGGCCTCCTGCAGGAGTCAATCATCCTCCAGGAGTAGGTCTTCTGCAGGAGACAATCATCCTTCAGGAGTAGGCCTCCTGCAGGAGACAATCATCCTTCAGGAGTAGGCCTCCTGCAGGAGTCAATCATCCTTCAGGAGTAGGCCTCCTGCAGGAGACAATCATCCTTCAGGAGTAGGTCTTCTGCAGGAGTCAATCATCCTTCAGGAGTAGGTCTTCTGCAGGAGTCATCATCCTTCAGGAGTAGGTCTTCTGCAGGAGTCAATCATCCTTCAGGAGTAGGTCTTCTGCAGGAGTCAATCATCCTTCAGGAGTAGGTCTTCTGCAGGAGTCATCATCCTTCAGGAGTAGGTCTACTGCAGGAGTCATCATCCTTCAGGAGTAGGTCTTCTGCAGGAGTCAATCATCCTTCAGGAGTAGGTCTTCTGCAGCAGTCAATCATCCTTCAAGAGTAGGTCTTCTGCAGCAGTTAATCATCCTTCAGGAGTAGGCCTCCTGCAGGAGTCAATCATCCTTCAGGAGTAGGCCTCCTGCAGAAGGACAACTCATAATGAAAAACATTTTCCTGAATGGATGCAAACACCCCCTCCCCCCCATCCTCCCCCCCCCTCTCCCAATCCTCCCCTCCCTCCCAATCCTCCCCCATTACATGGTATTCCATGCTGTCTTTAATCCTTTTTTTTCCCTCATCATCCAATGAACGACGGTGTACTTTTCAAGACTAATAGAGTCCTGCTGTACATAGTCTATGTAGATATGGTGACCATAAATCTACTCTTGAATAGCGAAGTACTGTTTCTGATAGAATATAAGTTAAACAGAATTAATATGTATCTTCTTTCTATATCCTAATTGATGTACTCATCGCCAGTTGCTACCTTGTCGGGCTGATGGAGAGTTCTCTGTGAGTTCTGGAGAGTTCTCTGAGTTCTGGAGAGTTCTCTGTGAGTTCTGGAGAGTTCTCTGAGTTCTGGAGAGTTCTCTGAGTTCTGGAGAGTTCTTGAGAGTTCTCTGTGAGTTCTGGAGAGTTCTCTGAGTTCTGGAGAGTTCTCTGAGTTCTGGAGAGTTCTCTGTGAGTTCTGGAGAGTTCTCTGAGTTCTGGAGAGTTCTCTGAGTTTTGGAGAGTTCCCTGTGAGTTCTCTAGAGTTCTCTGTGAGTTCTCAAGAATTCTATCAATAAAATTACAAGAGAAAAATATTGCCATAATTTAAATAAAAATATCACTGAAGGATTTAAATTAGATATAACTGGAATACACTTGAATCATGCAATGATACACTTCAATCATGCAATGATACACTTCAATCTTGCAATGATACACTTCAATCTTGCAATGATACACTTCAATCTTGCAATGATACACTTCAATCATGCAATGATACACTTCAATCTTGCAATGATACACTTCAATCTTGCAATGATACCCTTCAATCTTGTAATGATACACTTCAATCATGCAATGATACACTTTAATCATGCAATGACACACTTCAATTATGCAATGATACACTTCAATCTTGCAATGATACACTTCAATCTTGCAATGATACACTTCAATCTTGCAATGATACACTTCAATCTTGCAATGATACACTTCAATCATGCAATGATACACTTCAATCTTGCAATGATACACTTCAATCATGCACTTCAATCTTGCAATGATACACTTCAATCTTGCAATGATACACTTCAATCTTGCAATGATACACTTCAATCTTGTAATGATACACTACAATCATGCAATGAAACACTTCAATCATGCAATGACACACTTCAATTATGCAATGACACACTTCAATCTTGCAATGACACACTTCAATCATGCAATGATACACTTCAATCTTGCAATGACACACTTCAATTATGCAATGACACACTTCAATCTTGCAATGACACACTTCAATCATGCAATGATGTACTTTAATCATGCAATGATACACTTCAATCTTGCAATGATACACTTCAATCATGCAATGATACACTTCAATCTTGCAATGATACACTTCAATCTTGCAATAATACACTTCAATCATGCAATGATACACTTCAATCATGCAATGATACACTTCAATCATGCAATGGTACACTTCAATCTTGCAATGATACACTTCAATCTTGCAATGATACACTTCAATCTTGCAATGATACACTTCAATCATGCAATGATACACTTCAATCATGCAATGATACACTTCAATCATGCAATGGTACACTTCAATCTTGCAATGATACACTTCAATCTTGCAATTATACACTTCAATCATGCAATGATACACTTCAATCTTGCAATGATACACTTCAATCTCGCAATGATACACTTCAATCTTGCAATGATACACTTCAATCTTGCAATGATACACTTCAAGCATGCAATGATACACTTCAATCTTGCAATTATACACTTCAATCATGCAATGATACACTTCAATCTTGCAATGATACACTTCAATCTTGCAATGATACACTTCAATCTTGCAATGAGACACTTCAATCTTGCAATGAGACACTTCAATCTTGCAATGAGACACTTCAATCTTGCAATGATACACTTCAATCATGCAATGATACACTTCAATCTTGCAATGACACACTTCAATCATGCAATGATGTACTTTAATCATGCAATGATACACTTCAATCTTGCAATGATACACTTCAATCTTGCAATAATACACTTCAATCATGCAATGATACACTTCAATCATGCAATGATACACTTCAATCATGCAATGGTACACTTCAATCTTGCAATGATACACTTCAATCTTGCAATGATACACTTCAATCTTGCAATGATACACTTCAATCATGCAATGATACACTTCAATCATGCAATGATACACTTCAATCATGCAATGGTACACTTCAATCTTGCAATGATACACTTCAATCTTGCAATTATACACTTCAATCATGCAATGATACACTTCAATCTTGCAATGATACACTTCAATCTCGCAATGATACACTTCAATCTTGCAATGATACACTTCAATCTTGCAATGATACACTTCAAGCATGCAATGATACACTTCAATCTTGCAATTATACACTTCAATCATGCAATGATACACTTCAATCTTGCAATGATACACTTCAATCTTGCAATGATACACTTCAATCTTGCAATGAGACACTTCAATCTTGCAATGAGACACTTCAATCTTGCAATGAGACACTTCAATCTTGCAATGATACACTTCAATCATGCAATGATACACTTCAATCTTGCAATGATACACTTCAATCATGCAATGATACACTTCAATCTTGCAATGATACACTTCAATCTTGCAATGATACACTTCAATCTTGCAATGATACACTTCAATCTTGCAATGATACACTTCAATCTTGCAATGATAAACTTCAATCTTGCAATGATACACTTCAAGCATGCAATGATACACTTCAATCTTGCAATTATACACTTCAATCATGCAATGATACACTTCAATCTTGCAATGATACACTTCAATCTTGCAATGATACACTTCAATCTTGCAATGAGACACTTCAATCTTGCAATGGTACACTTCAATCTTGCAATGATACACTTCAATCTTGCAATGATACACTTCAATCTTGCAATGGTACACTTCAATCTTGCAATGATACACTTCAATCATGCAATGATACACTTCAATCTTGCAATGATACACTTCAATCTTGCAATGATACACTTCAATCTTGCAATGGTACACTTCAATCTTGCAATGATACACTTCAATCATGCAATGATACACTTCAAGTATGCAATGATACACTTCAATCATGCAATGATGTACTTTAATCTTGCAATGATACACTTTAAACCTGCAATGATACACTTTAAACCTGCAATGAAACACTTTAAACCTCTAATGATGCACTTCAATCTTGTAATGATACACTTCAATCTTGTAATGATGTACTTCAATCTTGCTAAGATGTACTTCATTTATAATGTACTTCGCCCTCTGGAGGGTTATTAAGGCCACCACAATAACTTACTGACACAACCACCATGTTTGGTGATTAGGGGTTAAGGCCTGTCAACCTTAACAGGGTTAATGAGGCCAAAGCAATATGCCACAGTCATCTTGGTTGCTGGGAGTCATCATCTTGGTTGCTGGGAGTCATCATCTTGGTTGTTGGGAGTCATCATCTTGGTTGTTGGGAGGTCATCATCTTGGTTGCTGGGAGTCATCATCTTGGTTGCTGGGAGTCATCATCTTGGTTGCTGGGAGTCATCATCTTGGTTGTTGGGAGGTCATCATCTTGGTTGCTGGGAGTCATCATCTTGGTTGTTGGGAGGTCATCATCTTGGTTGTTGGGAGTCATCATCTTGGTTGTTGGGAGTCATCATCTTGGTTGCTGGGAGTCATCATCTTGGTTGCTGGGAGTCATCATCTTGGTTGCTGGGAGTCATCATCTTGGTTGCTGGGAGGTCATCATCTTGGTTGCTGGGAGTCATCATATTGGTTGCTGGGAGTCATCATCTTGGTTGCTGGGAGTCATCATATTGGTTGCTGGGAGTCATCATCTTGGTTGCTGGGAGGTCATCATCTTGGTTGCTGGGAGTCATCATCTTGGTTGCTGGGAGTCATCATCTTGGTTGCTGGGAGTCATCATCTTGGTTGTTGGGAGTCATCATCTTGGTTGCTGGGAGGTCAACATCTTGGTTGCTGGGAGTCATCATCTTGGTTGTTGGGAGTCATCATCTTGGTTGTTGGGAGTCATCATCTTGGTTGTTGGAGTCATCATCTTGGTTGTTGGGAGTCATCATCTTGGTGCTGGGAGTCATCATCTTGGTTGCTGGGAGTCATCATCTTGGTTGCTGGGAGTCATCATATTGGTTGCTGGGAGGTCATCATCTTGGTTGCTGGGAGTCATCATATTGGTTGCTGGGAGGTCATCATCATGGGAGTCATCATATTGGTTGCTGGGAGTCATCATCTTGGTTGCTGGGAGTCATCATCTTGGTTGCTGGGCGTCATCATCTTGGTTGCTGGGAGGTCAACATCTTGGTTGCTGGGCGTCATCATCTTGGTTGCTGGGAGTCATCATCTTGGTTGCTGGGAGGTCATCATCTTGGTTGCTGGGAGGTCATCATCTTGGTTGCTGGGAGGTCATCATCTTGGTTGCTGGGAGTCATCATCTTGGTTGCTGGGAGTCATCATCTTGGTTGCTGGGCGTCATCATCTTGGTTGCTGGGCGTCATCATCTTGGTTGCTGGGAGGTCAACATCTTGGTTGCTGGGCGTTGCATCATCTTGGTTGCTGGGCGTTCATCATCTTGGTTGCTGGGAGGTCATCATCTTGGTTGCTGGGAGGTCATCATCTTGGTTGCTGGGAGGTCATCATCTTGGTTGCTGGGAGGTCATACACTTCATCTTGGTTGCTGGGAGGTCCTCATCTTGGTTGTTGGAGGTCATCATCTTGGTTGCTGGGAGGTCATCATCTTGGTTGCTGCATGGAGTCATCATCTTGGTTGCTGTCCATCATCTTGGTTGCTGGGAGGTCAACATCTTGGTTGCTGGGAGTCATCATCTTTGTTGCTGGGGGTCATCATCTTGGGAGGTTGCTGGGAGTCATCATCTTGGTTGCTGGGAGTCATCATCTTGGTTGCTGGGAGGTCAACATCTTGGTTGCTTGGAGTCATCATCTTGGTTGCTGCATCTTGGTTGGAGTCATCATCTTGGTTGCTGGGAGTCATCATCTTGGTTGCTGGGAGTCATCATCATCTTGGTTGCTGTTGGGAGTTCTCAACATCTTGGTTGCTGGGAGTCATCATCTTGGTTGCTGGGAGTCATCATCTTGGTTGCTGGGAGTCATCATCTTGGTT